CATTTGCTTAGCACTATTTAAGTAGCATTACTTGCGCTACTATACTTTAGTTTTGTCCTCTTGTTCCCTACGTACTTTCATAGGGACATCCTCAGTAATAGACTCAGTTGTCTATTCCAGTTCAGTCTGAGGTAGCTTTAACCAGTATACGTTCTCAACCTACTGCTAGTTGCAGTAGCTCAGTCTTAAGTCTAGTTCTAGTACAACGCATCAGCCTTACACGTAGCAGTACCTTTTGTCAGTAGTAGTCTTAAGTGGAACTCCTGATCCTCAGTTGTCAGGTCCCTTGTCAGAAGAACTGGCAGGATATGTTTTACATTGGTATCCTAGTGTGATTTATGCAAGAATGGTACTCTTGAACAGTAGTCACAGTATCTGTTATGAGAATCAAGACATTTGGTGTGCATTCTCAAAGAAGAACATTATATATATCAGAAAATCACAGGGGTTTCTTGGTGATCTTGTATATCTTGTGTGAAGAGACCTTGAACGACTGAGGATCAGGAGTTCTACTGAAGTGTCTGGAGTCTAAATGCTAAGCCCTATGCTGGGGATTTGCATCACATCTTAGTATCATTCTCATATATAATCTGCCTCTAGAAAGTGCACATCTGTGATGCATGTGCACCTGAACTACAGCACACCTCCTGTTAAGGGGCCTTAGATGACTGGAGATCAAGAGTTCCAATTGAATGACCATATGTTTTAGGACTGTAATGCCTGAGTCCTATGCTGACAACTTGTACTTGAATTTATCCAACTAGAGCAGAGCTTCCCTTGCAGGGGAAGTTTGAGAGTGTGCACTGAGTAAATGTCAAGGTATCACCCTTGACCCTAACCCAAACTCTAACCCAAACACTCACTTGTAGTGGTTGTAGTTGTAAGAGTTTAAGCAAGGTGCTTGTCTTAAGAGCTAGTTTAGTTCAGAGGATGAGTTGATGGGTAAGTAGTGAGGTAGACAAGAGAATATCAAGTCTGCCCTCTCTATACTGTATTGCTCTGTTATTTATACATGAGGGACCAGACCCCTAATACTACTGGTAGTACACCTAACACCTTAGGATGACTGATGCTCTACATACACTATTGGCTATCTAAGAATACCTGACATGTGAACACTCTGCCTTGTATATGGTCAGTAGTTCTACAGTGATGATCACCTGAATGGCCTTGTGTGCTTCTAGGTGCAATGGGCATGATGGTGATATTCTATAGCCTTGCCCAATTGATGGGCTAAGCACCTGACTAGTAACATGTCACCATGCACTACACTATCCTTATCTAGGTAGATATCTAATCATATCAGATATAGATCATCTAAGCGCTTATGATAAGATAGACACTGTGAAATTCTGTGACAGTAAAGCAGTCAAGAGGACATCTAGGTTCTGTTGAGTGTCCCTATGAGGTATGTATAGGAACAGGAGGACAAAACTAAAGTACAACAATGTAGAGGCTAGGTTTTGAATAGAGGAAGAGATTGAAAATGGAAACAGAGTTCTATTGATGTAAGTAAAGTAGAATTGTCAAGGTATCACCCTTGACCCTAACCCTAACTCTAATCCCTAGACTCACTTGTGTGGTGTTGGTGATTGCAAAGGTGATAAGCTTGGGGGCTTAGTCTTTGGGAGTGGTTAACTCAGAGAGAGGTTGAGAGTGAAGTAGACAGTGTATGTTCTAATAAGAGCAGACTGCCATACTACGCTGTATTGCTCTGGTATTTATACATGAGGGACCAGACCCCTAA